GGCGGGGGACGGGACTCGCCGCCTTGGGCTGCCTTCTGGGGCGAGCTCGGCGCTGCAGCTCTGGGGCATGGTAGCAGGGCGCTCCTGCCTTTCCCGCTGAGGCCCTGTGGCACCCGGGGGCTTGTTGCGGGGTGCTCCCTGCAGGACAAGGTACCATAAGGAAGCAATAAAAAGGCTTTATCAGGTGTACTTTATTGGTGCGTTTCCTTGTTGCCGTTTTCTTGTAAGAAAGCGTGATTAAATGCTGAACTACACCACCAAATGTTCGGCAGTAGCTTTGCTAAAAACAATAAAATCTTAATATGCTGAAATTGGATGAGGAATCCTGGCTGTGAGCCAGGCAGAGACATATAATTTGCAGGGGGATTTTTGAGATGTTTGCATTACCAAGTGTCAAATTAACAAGGTTACTTTATAGCTCCTTTGAGGCTTTTAATTCTCAAGTGGAAATGCTACTTTGGGAGGGTTTCAGTGGTTGCCACCCATAATTGTCTACTTGACACCTGCTTTGAAACATCTGCTGTTAGGACATGGGCAGCTTGGCTGCTTGTGAGGCACCAGCTGAACAAGCACAATTTCCAGGCTAGTATGTTATTCAAGTATATATGAAGCTCCTGCTCTTAAGATGGTAGTCTGTAACTTCTGCTTGTTCAACAGCTACCACAAAGCATCTGATGTGCTTCTGGATTGGGAAGCAGCACCAAGCCAGTAACCAGCTGTCACCAAGCACGCAAAGTTTTGTTCACCGGTCAGAAACTTCTGGTCCCTGTGTTACAAGAGCTAAAATAAATACACAAAGGCCGTGACCTCCAAACCAGTAAATTGTGCCTTGTACTTTAAAATGATCTTGTCTGTTCTGCCCTTGTCTGCGACTCAGTGATACAGGTAGGCATAATCAGTAACCTTTGTATCTTATAATTTACAATCATAAAATGGTAGAGATGAAAAATGTCTTTATGAGTTTCTGGTCAGACTGTCTTGCAAATGCAAGATAAAATGTGAGATAATCTGCAACAGCATGCTTTCTAGGTTTTCTACTTCTAAAATCCAAAGCATCGAGATTTATATCACTTCCTAAAAATGGCTGGTTTGCCACATTAGTTCATGATGAGGAAGTACTAGTTGGTGACTGTCACATTTCCTTACTGTTTCAACTCACATCCAAACAACCCCAAATTAGTATTATCAAGTGAAATTGTCAACGATCTTTCCAGTCTTTCCAAATCTAACAGTCTTCCTGAGATCACAATATTTGTAGACATTTTAAATAATTTGTGTTTACTAATGGAAGGGCCCCAACTCAGAAGAGAGAGACCCAATTAAAAAAAAGAAATCCTTAGTTAGGAAAGGGAGTCTATCATGTAGTCTTCTATAAATTCCAATGAAGTAAATGAAATTTCAGTTCATGCTTAAATTTGCGCATATGTAAGAACATATTTTAATTTAAGCGTATGTAAATATATGTAAGGTTCTGTGAATCAAGGTTGAGATTTGCCTCACCGGACTAACTGTGACAATTGCCAGACTTACACTAGTTGAGTCATTTTCACGTTTCTACGTTACATTTTGTTCTGTAGAGGGTTTGACTTTATCACATTTGCTGATGTATTTATTTCTACTAATGGTCCATTCACATCAGATGCTCATCTTAGTAGCTCCTTTGCTCTCATTTCTTACACATCTGCACATCCTTGATCTATGTTTTATAACCGGAATTTCATTTGTTCAGCGTAAGTCTGCTGATATCATCAGTTCTGGTCAAATTTATATATATCCACACAGCCAGATGCACAGATGGTATAAATCACCTCATCACCTCTTATGTCAATACAACAATACTAATTAACATTTCCTTATGAACTAGACAGCATATACAGAAGTCCCTCCTTCCCATTATTTTCCATTTTGAAACAGGCCTATTTCTTAGGGTTTTATTATTTTGCTTTTTATAATATAGGAGCTTTTACAATGACCTTCTGTTATGTTTTAATCTGAAGA